AGGGAGGGAGGGAGGAAGGAAGGAAGGAAGGAAGGAAGGAAGGAAGGAAGGAAGGAAGGAAGGAAGGAAGGAAGGAAGGAAGAAGTTGCCTCTTCCGTACCCATTACCAGAGATAGGTGTACCCTTGTGACTGCTGAATAAAAGCAAGGTAAGCTCTGGCAGTTGTCATACCTAGGTGCTGGGCCACTTTCACCTGAAATTTCTCATTTTCTTTTCCTTGAGTATCAACTGGAAGATAATCAGAGCCCAAGAATCTGGTAAGGAGAGGGCCAAAAACTGGCCCCATTACCCAGAGTGGGTATACGGCAATGGTTCTCACCCTTCCTAATGTTGTGACCTTTAATACAGCTCCTTAAGTTGTGGTGACCACCCCCCAGAAAAAAATGATTTCTGTTGCTACTTCATAACTGTAATGTTGCTGCTGTTGTGAACCAAAATGTAAATATCTGATGTGTGGGGTATCTGATATTCATTCCCGGTGAAAAGGTCATCATCATCATCATCACCACCACCGCCCCGCCCCCCAAAGGGGTCACGACCCACAGGTTGAGAACTACTGGTATAGCGTCTTCATGGGCTGCAGTGGTGAAGGCTGAGCCTAGGGCTCACACTCAGAGCACCCGTGTTTGAGGCCATGCTCTTTTGATTAGGACTTGGCAACCCTGGAGGGATTAGCCATTGTGCGCCTCTCCATCTTCATCAGCCGAATGCAGAGAAAATGCCTACCTCAAAGGCATGCTGTGGGGATGCCTGACGTCACTGTGCAGGGACTTTGTTACTGTCAGGCATTAAGTAAATGTTATTTATTATCATGACTGCCTTATCCCCAAAGGGGTTTTTTTTTTCCCCTCTTTGAGTTGGGAAGTATCGAGCCATACCATGATGGATGTAGTGACTAATATCATGTTAAATGAGTGCTATAAGGAACTGGCTAAGATAAACGCTCCTCTTTATAACAGCCATCACCAAGGGTGGTGATGAATGCCAGAGTTCTCGACGCTGATACTTCCCTTGGCAGGCGTTAGGAGTACAAGCTCTCTCTCAACCTCACGGGGCTCAGCAACCCTCCCTGTCTTGGTTTGGGGTGCTCCCAGAGCAGCTAAACTCAACAGATCGAAGTTTGGCTTTGATTTCAGGGAGTCGCCACACATTTTACTTCTGAGGCAAAGAAGAAAAATGGATTCGGAAACCACTTCCCTACCTTTCCAAGGCACTGGAGAGAGAGAGAGAGAGAGAGAGAGAGAGAGAGAGAGAGAGAGATGAAAAGCTGACTTACAAATCCCGCACAGTGTTCACAGAAGGTCGGCTTGAGATAGTTCATCTCCTGAAAATTGTGGATAAATCCCGGTCCCATTTTGCAGTGAAGCTGGGATTTAGCTCTCAGGAAATAAGCCATCATTTCGTCTTTGCTAATTAGGCCGTCCCTGGTAGAGAGAGTCACAGAAGGGAAGAATCTTTGAATACTGTATCAGTAAGTAGTCGCCACACTCTGGGACCCACCGCCTCCCAAACCTGTGTGACCAAAAGCGAATGAGAAACGTTCACTTTTCTTCAGCATCCAAAAGGAGGGTGAATCTCACAAGACACATCAAGCAGTCAAAGGCTTCTCCAATAGGTGGATGCTGTGTGTGTGTGCATATGTGTGTGTGCGTGTGCATATGTGCATGTGTGTACATGTACGTGTGTATGGGAGCGTGTGCGTGCATGCACACGTGCACACACATGGCTCAAAGAGTTATCTTTATTACTGACTACAAGCTTCCGGAAGGACAGCTTTCTAGTCCGTGACTAGCAGCAGTAAGGCTGAAATCACTGCTGTCATTCCCAACTTTATTCAGCTTAAACTCATGGCAGGCTGCACCCCCCACCCCCCACCCCCCACAGTGACCTTTGCATCTGTGTCCTCCACACCCACTGCTTATCTAAGCAACCCCCCCTCCCAGATCTCCTCTACACAGAAGGACTCTCCTCTTCTACCCATGTGTTCTCTGCTCATCACACACCCTGCTTGTCACTTGTCTATCAGTAAGAACCAAACCCATGTGACACAGGGAAGTGCTGGGTACAGAGATCCCATCATTCCTGCCCTGCTCAGGATTCCTTTATTCTTCCTCTCTTGGGTCTTCCTATGGCGCCAGAAGGGCTGCTCCCATCCAGGCTCCTGTCCCCGGTCTCCAGCCTCCACCCACCTCTGCTCTCTCCCAGGCTCTGCTCAGTTTTCTCACCCACTTCTTTGGTTTACAGAGATGCCCAATACTTCCTTTCTCTGATCTCTTTCCCTGCTCCCGCTGTCTTCCTCAGCACTGGTCTTTCTCTCTTACCAACCCCCAAAGTTGTCAAAGCGTCACTCATCAGCATTTTCTGCCATCATCCTATACTACCCAGTCAAGTTCTTCCCACGGCTACCCTACCAAAAATGTCGCGAAGGACAATGCTCAGCGGCCTCCTCTCATTCTTCGAAATCACCAGCCTCGTGGCGGTGTGTGACGCGGGGACAGATTGAATTGTTGACACCCTCTTCTCTGTAGAGCGTGCACTTCTGGGCCGTTCTGTTTTACTCTCTCCTCTCCTGCCCCCCCTTCTCTGTCTCTTCTGCAGAATTCCACTTGTTACCTTCATCACCCATGAGTGGGAAGGGTAGTCCTGCAGGCTGGTTTCCCACGCCCTGAGCTCATCTCCCCTAAATTTCCCACCAGAAAGGAATATTGCACCGAGCTCCAGCAACCAGCTAATGTGGCGGGGCTGAAAAGCTAATGTGCGCCTCTAACCCCAACTGTTCTCACACAGTTTTTGTTTTTGTTTTTGAGACAGGGTTTCTCTGTGTAGCTTTGGAGCCTGTCCTGGAACTCACCCTGTAGATCAGGTTGGCCTCGAACTCACAGACATCTGCCTGGCTCTGCCTCCTGAGTGCTGGGATTAAAGGCGTGCGCCACCACCGCCCCGGCTGTTCTCACACATTTTGTACTACGTCTTCAATAACTTGCTAGGCATCTCTTCCTGTACACCCCCCTCAAAATCAACACAACCATGGCAAAGTCCCTATCTTCCTTTCCAACTCGTATTACCACAGGTCTCCCTGTTGCTATTAACAATGCCATAATTGCACCCCAAACTGAAGATCCTTTTTTTCATCTCATATGCAAGATAACTTGAATCATACTTAGAATTTATAAAATTAAGTCATCTAGTATCTTTCCCATCCTTAAAAAAATTATCCTACAATTTCTGCAGAAATATGCATCAATCACAAACAGACACAAAAGTCTAATTTGGACAACATTCATTGAGATACATACATATGTGTGTGTCAACATATACATATATATAAAGAAACATGCACACACACACACACACACACACACACACACACACACACACACACACATATATATATATATATATATATATATATATATATGCAGATGTAGAATCAGTGAATCATACATGCCCCAGGGATCCATTTATTATACTATAAAGGGAGTAGGGAAACTGGAGTTCAACCACCGGGCAGCAACCTGGCTCAGGTCCTTTCAAGGCTCAAGAGACAGAGAAAGGAAAACTTGCTACCTAGCACGTATCCCATCTCACATCATACAGATCTCCTGGCACAGAAGCTTCCAACTTCCAACAGACGTGGTATAAAGTCCTCAAAGAGCAAGGAGCTTAAGAAACTCCTGTGCCTGTCTACTGTGTGTCCTCTCACAGGCTAGGAATTCCAAGAACCAAGATGTACGCAGAACCACAAGACAGCGGGAGCTTACTCTACGAGTTACTAGAAAGAAGAATGTTGGCCAGTCATTAGGAACACTGGACTTAAATTGTGAGTGTGGAGCGGGGAGGGGTCACTACAGCAGTTCTTTACCCTCAGCTTTATCCTCAGCCTTCTTTTAACATTTTTTTTTATTTTAAGACACGGTCTCGCTGATTAAGTCCTCCAGGCTGTAGTTGAATTCTTTCTCTGAAGCCCAAGCAGAAACCAAGCTTCTGATCTTCCCACCTCAGCCTGCCAAATAGCCTGGACCACAGGCATCTGCCATCACGTTTATCACTTCTACTTGTCTTGTTGGGGCTTTCAGAGCTGGTAGCAAAGTAGTGCAAAGACTGAAAGAAACTGAGAGCTGGCTCATTTGCAGATGGGCACTTACGTTTAACAGAGATGTGGTCTGCCCTGGAACAGCACCCAACTGGTCATGTTTAGGGACGCCAAGAAAGACAAGGAGTGAAAAGCCAGACTGCCTTATCAGAACAATAGGGTACGCCTTGTCAGGATGCAGGATGCAGGTTTGCCTGGCCCCACCCCCACCCCCCAGATAATCTTCTGCTTTAAGCTAGATCCATTAAAAAAAACGACAAAGTGAGACTTACTGATCTTTGTCTAGCACACAGAAGGAATCCAGGAAGGGGAAATTGGCGGTTATACTCTCAAAGTCCTCCTGGGAGATGTATCCATCATGGTCGTGATCGTAGTTTCGAAACACAGACTGCAAAGGATAGACGAGCATTTACCGTGAGCGTGTATCAGTCAGGCATTAAACTTGAGAAAAACAGTAAGTGGATTATCCATTCAATCAAAGAGCCTTGAATCCGGTGGGGGACCTGTAAACTCAAGGCTTGTTGAACACTATAAAATGGTAAGTGGTTTGTGGAGTGTTTCGAGGTGGGAATTTAGATAAAGAAAGATTTCCCGAAGAAAGAAAACTCTAAACTGAGACCTCAGGGTTGAGTAGGAGTTAGGTTGGTGAGTTTATTGATTATAATACCATGAAAACAGAAAATGAAACTTTAGAAATTTAAATTACCTCAGAAACTAAAATATGTGTTGAATGTTATCCCCATCAAAATCCTAATAAGATTTCTTTTAAATTCCTACTTGGAGGGAAGAAATGTTTACAAATGAACAAAATAATTCTATAATTCAAATAAAAGTCAATATACAGGCTAAAAATTGCTCGGAATGGTAACAGAGGCACACGAACTCTCCCCTTCAGAAATCAAGTATCCTACAGGTATACTTGACAACAGATGTGACAGCGTGTACAGAGAGTCCTCAAGCACATGAAATGTCAAAAAAGCATTTATCTGGACCCACCTCATCCTGCAGGCTGCCCCCTGCTCAGAAGTGACTCTCAATTTCCCCATCCCCTTCCCTTCTCTTCTCTCTCTGCTTCTCCAACCCTGTTCCCATCAGTCCAAACCTAACTCCTTGCTGAAAGGTTGGCCCAGTTTGGGTTAAAATGCTTACCATTAGCTTAATCAAATAAAAAGCAATTTCATTTATGAACTTGTACTAAAGTTCTGTTTACAAAATTCTTGTACTCTATAAATTAAAGTATGGATATTCAATGACAAATATTAGGCACTTCAAAACACTTAACCTTTAAGTTGTTTGGCTAGTGGATAAGTATTGAGATGATGAAAATCTGGTACACAAACAATGAGAAAAAATTTATTCAGCTGTTAAAAAAAAGAAATTTGAAATTTTCAGGAAAATGGATGGATCTGGAAAGTATTATATTAAATGAGGTGACCTAGATCCAAAAAGGAAAAAAAAAAAAAAACCCTGCACATTCTCTCTCATACATGCAGATCTTAGCTTTGAATGTTTCTATGTGTGTGTATAGGTCTATGTGGGTGTGGGTATAAGCTGGGAAAGCAAAAGAAAAGCATGAGAGGGAAAGAGGAGCTGTTGAGAAAACAACAGGACGTATGAGACACAAAGGCAGAGAGGAGGTTACTGGGGTGGGAGGGTACGAATAGAGACAGAGCCTGGGGGAGAAGAGGAAGCCAAGAGAATAAATAAACACAAAACGTGTTGGACAATGCCATAATGAAATATAATAGGTTATAGACTAATTTTAAGAGATGCAAGAAAATGAGAGGGAAAAGAATGTCAAAAAAGAAAGATCTCTACTTCTCAGTTTTCATTTTCTGTAATCAGAGCATCCTGATGTGAAATGTCCTCCTTGGGTCCTTTTGGCCCCCAAACTCTGTCCCTCTTTGCCCTGGACTATATGGTTTTCTTAGGCCCTTCCCTCAGCAAAAGTCCCTTACACACCACCTTTGTGGTTGTCATTGGCTTGCTTGGGTCTTCTGTCTGTTTGCTTGCTTGCTTAAGATCCATTTTATTTTTGAATTGGACATATGCCTGTATGTCTGTGTTCATGCACGTGCATTCAGGTGCCTATGAAAGCCACAGTGGTGTTGAATCCCCTAGCTGGAGTTAGAGTTGATTGTTAGCTACCCAATGTGGGTGCTAGGAATCAAATCCATGCCCTGCAGACAAGCAGAGAGTCCTTTTAACCACCTAGCAACCTTCCCAGCACTCAGCTTACTTGTTCTTGAGATCAGGTCCTGTTGTGTACCTCTGGTTGCCTTTAACTCTCCTGTCCCAGCCCCTCATGTGCATTAGCACACCTGGCCTCCCACACTACGCCTTTGAACAACTTCTTTCTGCCTCACACCTAACATAAAACATCTCTCAGCAATTACCAAATCCCTGGGTTTTCCGAGATGAAGAACATTCTTTGTGTTCTTCTGAAACATCCCTTTCCAGCAAACAGCACTATCTACCTTCTCATAGATACTCTGCCTCCTACATTCAACTTTATTGTAATAGACGATTCACCAGTCTGTGAAAGCAGGGCTTTAATTGGGCCTGGGTCACAGTTTCCAAAAACAGAGACATTTCCACTTCTTCCTTCACATTTGTGCTTCTACTCTTCTGTTCTCTCTCTCTCTCTCTCTCTCTCTCTCTCTCTCTCTCTCTCACACACACACACACACACACACACACACATACACACACACACACACACACACACACACACACACACCCTTTGAGGCAGGGTCTCATTGTAGTCCAGGCTATCCTCAAACTCACCAATCCTCCTGCCTCAGCCTCCCAAGTGCTGGGATTACATGGGTGCACCACCACACCCAAATCTGTTTTTCTTTCTACAGGAAGAACCCAGAAAGAGCCTTGACTTAGATTGAGTGGTTTTTCTGACCTCAGTGGTGTTGTGTGGCTGTGTCATAAAACCCTCATACTATACAGCAGGTGAAACAATCCAGCTTACAGGATATTTCCCTGCTTGGAAGTAACAAAATCATCTGGAGTGGGTTTTCCATGAGTAATTCTAATCCCTAAAGTCCTTCAAGCTGGTGGCAGTGAGAGAGATGATAAATGCTCAAGAAGGGAGCTAGAGGGAGCTGAGGATATTTGGGTAAATAAGAAGACATAGACAAGAGACGGAAAGGTTCTTTCTGATAGATCCCCCTCTTGGGGCCAATGCAGGAAGCATGGAGTATCAGTTGACAAACTTGTTCCTCAATCAAGCTCAACTGTTCCTCCTTGCCCAGGAGCTGTTTTCATGGTCATCTGATTTCTGGACAATCATAGAACACTCAGGAAAGAGAAAGAGTCTTTCTAGAACTCTCCGCTTATTCTCCTTCAGTCACTTACCTCAACCAACTTCCTTATGTGTTTGTTGATGATTGTGGGGTCTGGCTTTGGTATCACCCCTGAAGCCCACTCCAGGGGCACCACAGGCTTGTTGGGTGTCGTGGGGGAGGTAGGCTGCTAAAAGAATACACAGACATATTTTTTCAACATTAACTGGACCTTGATCTACCAAGAGAGACAATTTAATATCTGAATAGCAGTAAAGACTTAAGTCTATATAGTGCTCAAGTGTTTTTTTTATTTGGAACAGTGTCTCACTATGGCACCCCAGCAGAACTGAGACAACATAGACCAGGCTGGTCTCACGTTTATATAGATCCTCTTGCCTCGGCCTCCTTAGACCACCATACGCAGCTTCACATGTCTATAAAGCAACATCTTTTGTTAATAGAGTTTAACCAGTAACTCAAAACATGCTTTGCCTTAGTTTGGGCTTTTTGAGACAAAGTTCCTTGCTATGCAGCTCTGGGACTTACCCTTCCAGTGCCTTAGCCTCTGAGTGTGAGTCTTCTAGGCGTGCACCAGCACATGGCTAAGGATATGTTTTGATGATGCCCTTTGTTTAACAGCAGCCTCCATTTTATCCTTTTAAGTAAGTATAAAAACCCTGTACTCCTGGACCACCCAAATAGCCCATCTGAGTTTTCTAACTATAGATTACCACCAGATAGTTCCTAAAGGTTCACATGACAATGCACCATGGACTTTTACATATGTGTGTATGTATCTATGTATGCATACACACACATGCATACATATAGATTACAGTTATCAAGCCAACCACAGTGGCACATACCTGTAATTCCAGCACTTGGGAGACTGAGGCAGAGGATCAAGACTTTGAGACCAGCACAGGTTTTATAGCAAGAGCCTCTCTCAAACAAAAGTTATCAGTTTTTTAAATAGTTCGTATTAGTGATAAATTTGCATTGAATGCATATAACAACTAGTAACCAATATGAGGCCAAGTTCCTGTCCTTTCCACCCACACTTTGTTTAAGATGATAATTACTTCCGTCTCTCTATCCTCTCTCCCACCACTGACTTCTCCACAGGCTTTTCCAGTAGGTTCTGTCTGTCTTTCAAGACATTTTCTCTTAGTCACCTGGGGAATGTGGTGACCATAATTCATAACGCAAGCAGGACACACAATCCAACCGGAAGCCGAGCTGAGGCTGCTGTGCGGTTTATTTACTGCTCTCTGTGGGACCTTCAGAGAGTGGAGGTGTTTTTACTGGTATACACAGGCAAACCCCTTCTAGGAGGCTCTTTATTTTTTATATGAACTGGGGCTAAATTTTTTTCAAGAGAATCTGAGAAGGAACCATAATTCATTTAAACCCTAAACTATGTTGAGGTGGGGACTACTGGTTGGGCAACTAGCAAGACCAACAACTTCATACAATTTAGACAGATTCATGCACACACTCACACTTTTGCATCCCTTTCTTCACACACCATGGCTCTATGTGTAGGAATGTGTGTGCACGCCTGTGTGCAAGCATGTATTGCATGGATATATGGATGTTGGAGGTCAACCTTAGGTGTCTTCTTTAATCATTCTTAGTCACAAAGTTTTTGAGACAGATTAAAAATTTCTTAAACTACTTCAATGGGGCATGAGGGTGTTTTTGTGCTGTTCCTGTTGGTATTTTTGTTCGTTTCTGTCTATTTTATTTTATTTTTATTTCTGTGTATGAGTGTTTGCACCTGCATGTGTGAATGCACCTCATGTGTGGAGACCACAAGAGGGCATTAAAACCTCTAGAACTGGAGTTACAGGTGGTTGTGAGCCACTGTGTGGGTGCTGGGAACTGAACTTGGTCCTCAGCAATACCAGTAAGTATTCTTAATCACTATGCTTTCTTTCCAACTCCTTTATTTATTTATTTATTTATTTATTTATTTATTTATAAGGATGTAAGGGATCTGGACAGAAACGCTACCTAACACAGGATCTTAAATATTAGGATGACTTTTTTTTTTTTTTTTTTGTCTCTTGTCTAGGTGAGTTCTTAGAGGGGGATACAAAAGATAAAAGGTCAATAATAAAACAGCATATGGATGATAGTCTTCCTCTCCTTCAGCGTTTGACGTGAAGAAATAATTCTGAAACCTTTGGGGATAAGCTGGCCCATTGGTCAAATGGGAATTATACAGCTCTTCAAAGTTCTTCCTTCTTAAGAACACAAAACGCCATCGAAATGACCAATGACAATAAATGACAAACAGTGTTTGGAGTCCTGAGAGAAAAGCAATACCTACCGATTTGGAGTTTCTAGGCTCCAGCACCAGTGACAGTTTGTAAATATCATCTTCAGTGTGATAGAGGTCCAGAGAGAGCTATGACAAAATCAAACGACACGAGTGATTACGTTGGATTGCATTTCTTTATGTACATCACTGAAATCTTCAAATGGAAGGCTGTATGTCTCGTGCCCAGATGTATGGATCCAGATATCTGGATGGATGCAAAAGAGTTCAAAGATAGAGGCATGCAGAGGGTGAGAAATAAAAATTTAAAAAGAAAAAGTTAATCCTGGCCTGGTCATCAGCATCAAGAAAAGCACAATGGACTCCGTTTCCTTGTGGTGTTGACTGGACCGCTCTTACACGTTCAGTCCTGAACACATTCAGTATTACACACAAGGACCCCAGAGACTGCAGTGATCTGGAAAGATCCAGGAGGTAGCTGTCAACTGGAAAGAGTTAGAGGAAGAGAAGGCCAGCATAGGCAAGGGTAACAGCTTGCACCAAGGTTGGAGAGTGTATACAATTACCATGGATGCTCCCGCTCACCTAAAGCAAGTCATGAGGTTTACAGTGAGCCAGACAGTCCCCACCCATGTCCTTCGGTGCCAGGAGACTTGAGGAATCACACCGCTTCATCAACGATGGTGAGAGTCAGTGCTACCAGCCTTTAGGCATGACAAATGTCCTCTAACTTTTTTGTTTTGTTTAATAATAAATCGTCATCATTTGTGAGTATGGAGCAAAGAAGAAGAGAAAGAAAGGGATGAAAAGAGAGCTAGAGACAAACTATATTCTCTAGGGTGTTTTTGTTCGAACGTCTTTAAAAACGAAATCGACACCATAGCCATCCCAGAGCAGTCATTCACTTGGCAAATGTTTTGTCAATCACATAATATGTGCCAGAGGTCAGTCACAGCACTGTCCTAGCAGCCACTCCATACGTCATTCAAATCAAAGACTTCATTACCTGAAGTTCTTTCCTAAGAAGAATAAAATTGACCTTGCTATAAAAAGGCCCTCAAATCTTCCCAGGTCTTGGAAATCCTGCTTGCTAATAATGGACACTGTAATGTACCTTTCTCTAAATAGCAGTCACACCTGTTCACTCATGTCAGAGACAAATGCCTCCAGGAAGCAGCCAATCATTCGAAAGAACAAAACAGGGTGCACTAGAAGGATATTTGATGGACACATTGGTACCTGTGGTGGTTAATATTATCCATTCTTCTGGATCTAGACTCACCAAAGACAGAAATCTCTGGGCAAAGCTGGGGGGGATTATCCAAGTTAGCTTCATTGGTTGAAAAGACCTACCCTAAGTTGGGGTGGCACCATTTCCTAAGCTGGGTCCTGGACAGTATAAAGATGAGGGAAATTCAGCCATGTACCAGCCTGTCATTTTTTGCTTTTGACTGAAGACACACTGGGACTAGCTGCTTCAAGCTTGCGCCACAGTGGCTTTCTTGATATACTAGACTGGATGCTTGAACTGTGAGACAAAATAACTTGGTTTTCTCTTTTAAGTTGCTTTTCTCATATTGTTTTTAAAGATGGAGGTCTCACTATGTAACCCCGGCTGACCAAGATGTAGAGCGAGTCGACCTCAAACTCAGAATTTGCCTGTTGTAGAACATTATTTTAAGGTGTGTTACATTTGTTTATGCTGTGGAACATTTGGTTAATGATGCAAAGGTATGTTGCATTCTTTTATGTTGGATTTGTCTAACTCTGTGAAGCTGTGTTACTTTGCCTGTCTAAAATGCTTGATGGACTAATAAAGAGTAAACGGCCAGTAGTGAGGCAGGAGAAAGGATAAGTGGGGCTGGCAGACAGAGAGAATAAATGGAAGATGAACATTAGAAAGGAGAAGAAAGAGCAAGAGAACAAGGAGGGGAGGACACTAGGGGCCAACCACCCAGCCACCCAGCCAGTCACCGAATAAGAGTGAAAGTAAGATATACAGAAGCAAGCAAGTGGAAACGCTCAGAGGCAAAAGGTAGATGAGATAATTTAAGAAGAGCTGGCAAGAAACAAGCCAAGCTAAGGCCGGGCATTTATAATTAAGAATAAGTTTCCATGTGTGATTTATTTGGAAGCTGGGTGGCAGCCCCCCCGCCCCAAGAGCAAGAACAAAAGAGCAAAAACAACCCACAACATTGGCTTCTTTCTGCCTCCTGAGTACTGGGATTAAAGGCATTGTCAGATATTGTCAGCGACTAGGTAATAGCTTTACAGTATCACAATGACTTATTGGGGGGCGGGGGAGAGGATCCTTGCGGATGCTACTAGGTTTTCAGTCTTTCCTCCATGCTGAACAGTTTGCTATGGTACATGGAACAGAACATCAGCTCTCTGCTAAGGAAGCAATAGGGGGCGATATGGTCTCTGAAAAAGTTGGAAGCAGCCATTATTCGGACACAATAAGTATTTGTCTGCCTGACATTTGATGTCAAGTTGGCCAGCTCTGGTCTGTCAGAAGTTGGCCATCTGGAGTTCAATATGAATTAGGACAATATTTGAACACTGGTCATGGGCAACAAACAACTTTCATGTTACTATATAAATAAAACACAGCTGCCGTGGGAAGTCGCCTACCACTTGATAAACCCCCAACCAAGGATTCTGCTGGGCACCATGCCTCGTGAAAGTGGGCAGTACATCTGTCCTTTTTGCCTCCATTGCAGTTTGAGGCCTTGCATGGAGGATCTTCCATAAATAAAGAGAGAAAGCCAAATGCAGTCTTCCTTCCAAATTCCTTGTTATCAGGAGTTAGCTCCGGCACTGAACGACAAGCTTGTTTCCTTCCTCCTGACTTGCCTCTAAGTCCTGTGATGTCCAAATCCCATAATGATTGGCACCAGCATCCTTCAATGAGTTAACAGCAGCTCCAAGATATTCAACCAGAAATGCCCACAAGACACCCCTAAATTCACAAGATGCTCTCACATGTACGCTTGTTAGGCTTTTTCCCATGATGGATGGGCATATAATGGACATGATTTGCTCTTCTCCAAATGTCTTCTTTCTACTTATAAATGCTATGATCCTGAGCAAACCATTAAGCTTCTTGATTTCTTCCTGATCAACACAGCTTCCAGTCAGGACCTTGATGAAGATTTAAATGAGCTAATGTGTATCTATTCCACTGGCTTTGCTTAGAAGGTCACAGATACAGGCTTGGTATCTAGGCAATGTAGCAGCCACATGTCATGCTGCTTATCTGTGAACAGAGAACTGTCCCCAAGGCTACTGCTACAATTTCTGTCCTGCCAGTCACAACCCTATTTCCTCTCTCAGATCTCCTTGGGGAACCTAAGGATTTTCCCTGTCTACTTTCCATTTTTAAATAATATGACCAGCTTTTGCCGAATATATTTTGTCCCTGGTGGTTTTAGACAATTTTCTGACCCACTGTCAGTTACATTTACCTCCAATCCTGTCAGTACAGGTGAATCTAGAGTTAGACTTCATGTTAAAATTGGCTTATTATAAAACAAAACACACTTGATCATCAAACTACTTATACTCACCTGTTTAGCAATCATCTTTTCCTTTTTTTTTCTTTCTCCTCCCTCTCTTTCTTCTTCGCTCTCTTTTTTTAATTTTCTTTCTTTTTAAAAAAAAACAAGACTATAAAAACATAGGGGCTTTCCAGCTATTTGCATGTGCTCAAAATGGTAAAGGTAACCGATGGGGCTAAAAATACCACGAAAAGAACTTGTCTGTTTCATATGTCATGAAACAGAGGCATCAGCTGTGAGAACTCTTCATTCTATGACTTGGGACCTCGAGGGGTAATAATGCCTTCTCCAGATCTACCCTGAAAGAGAGAACTATCTAAATCCCACCAGTCTAATGCCATGTCCTCTTCTGTTCACTCACCCATGCTGTTCAAGGGACAAAGGACGCAATGGTAAAAGTAACATGGTCTTTACCTCATAAATTTTATTCTCTAAATAAATAGTGAAAAGGGTTGGGGGAAAATATTGCTTAAATTTTTAGTGATACAAAATAAACTATGTTAGTAATAAATATGCCCACAGTAGAGAGCAGATGTCCATCCAAGGTCAATCATCCACTATTAATTTACATCTTAAAAGTCCCCTCGAAGGCCCATACGTTAAAAGATTGTTCCATGGCTCAGCACTGTTGTGATGTAGGGGGACATTAAGAGGTGAAGCCCAGCGAAAGGTCTTCAAATCATGAGAGCATGCCTCCAAGGGAATTGTGGGAACCCAGCCATGTCCTCCTCTCTTTCCACTTTCCCGCCATGAGGTAAGTGATCATGTTTTGCCATGTGTTGCTCTGTGTGTGTGCAGCCTTGCCACTGAACCAAGGCAATGACGCCAACTTTAGCAGACTGAGGCAAAATAAGCCTTTCTTTTCATAAATTGATTTATACTGGGCATTTGTTACAGTGATGAAAAGCTGACTAATACATTATCCGAGGGAGAAAGTTCCCCAACCTTGTATCCAGAAGTTAGTCACTTTTAGACTTTTTGGGTACTCATAAATCTCAGTTCCTTCATTTTTTGAGAAAGGAAGGAACAGAGGTGGTGTGACATTTTTCTAAGTTTTTCCCAGGATTCATTATAGGGCCCTTGTGAGAATACACCAAGGAGATACACAGGGAGTGTCATGTGAATCAGGGGTCATGGAAAGTTCCATCATTGGTAGACAGCCTGATGCACAAAATAAGAGTTTAATAATTGCTCATTAACTTGAGTTCTCACTTTCTGTCTTTTGGTGTCTGAAGCTCATGTGGGTCACTGAAGAACACAGTCACTTTGGGCAAAAAACTTGACTTGGAGAAAACTGAATCACTTCTTAAAAGCTACCCTTATGGACTTGCTCTCATGCCTCAGACAGCGACAGTTGTGTGGTTCTAATCCAGACATGTATGTGCTTCATAAAGTGGCCACTAGACTCTAGTGAACACATAAGTTTCCTCCAGACTCATGTTGGGGACATTACCTGCCCAGAGGTTGGGGGAAAAAAATGGATGTGACCTTGTGAGTAATGAACATTTTACTTGCTTGTGGGAAGGGAAGAAAGATATTAGATCTAAGTAGAAACTGGCTTAGGTGTGGTGACCCTTCTGAAGGCCTGTGCTGTCCTGGGGAGTCAGTGGGCCATGTGCCAACACCACAGAAACATTTCTTTATTTTCATGCTTTGCTGTTCTATATTTCTAGATTCATAGAAATTCATTCATAAATGAGCACAGAAACATTATGAAGAAGGCAAAGTCAGACTGATTAGCACAGGGGCAGGGCTAAGATCAAGACTTTTCTCTTTTTTAAAAAAAATAATTTACTAATTCGTTATTTTATGTGCATTCGTGCAAGGGTGTCAGATACCCTGGAACTGGAGTTACAGACAGTGAACTGTCATGTGGGTGCTGGGAACTGAACCCGGGTCCTCTGGAAAAGCAGCCAGTGCTCTTAACCCCTAAGCCATCCCTCTAGCCCCAAGACTTTTCATCTAGGATTTTTGCCATCACTCTGGGTTATGCAGCACTGCCCTTAAATATGGTTCTAAGCTGCTTCTGCATTTTTCCCTCAGTGTTCCTAAAAGTGGGCACCCTCTGGCATAATTTCTTTTCTTTTGTTTTTTATTTTTCTACAAAAAGAATTATTTCTTAACTTTTTTTTCTTTTTAATTCAGGTTCCCCATTTGTACCATTGAACTTTCATTTAAAAAAAAATTCAGAATTTTCCTAAACACCTCTTTTTGATAATGTTGCTTGGTGCATTTAGGTTTTGTTTTGTTTTGTTTTGTATATAGAACCGGGGCCCTGTGCATCCTAGGCAAGTACTCCACCACTGATAAACCTTTCCCTTGGTTGATGTACTTAAAACTCAAATTTAATTTCCCTACATTATTATTGTCTTTTAGGCATTTGAGACATTGTCCAAATGCAGGCACCTGCCTTGTGAAGTTACGCTCAAGGTTAAGAATACAGTTTAGATGGAGACACTTGAAACTGAGGGCCCACAGTGGCGCTTCTCTTCAGACATCACCTGTCTGTCCTGTGGTTTGTTGCCTGGTTGTGGCTACAACTCTGGGCACTGATTCATGGAAACATATTTACATGGCAAACGATTAATCAGTGCAGGTGCTTGAACTCTTGTGAGGTAGTTCCCCGTTGGAGAAAGTCTTTTTGTTTATCATTTATCAAACACCCAAGAGATCTGTGTGTTGACCACTTCACCTTCATATTGAGTACAGTCAATATTATTATTCTACTCAGGGATGTGTCCTTTGCTGACAATTACTTGCTCTAGGAACAGTGGATATGAAGTCTGGGAGTCAGGCTCCTTTCTCCAATGCAGCCATTGTAGGGGATTTAGGCGGTTGGAGCTTTAGAAGAGTTTCTGCTTTGATTTTCCATGGACATAAGAAGAAAACACCGATTCCCCATGGCAGTCAAGTTTCAGGTGCTACACTGTTGTGAAGCCAAATGGGGAAGCTGTGCCCTCCCTTGTTTAAGCAAGGGTAAGAAAATTTGTCTGTGCTTCTTCCCCCTCGAAAAGAAGACCTGAGGGAAAATGTCTTCATCTGTACACATGCTGTGTCTAAAACGCTCTAGATCTGAAGACCATCTAGACAGTCTGTCACAAGTGCCAACATGAATAAATAATAATCGGAGCAGCTGACACTCATTACTCCTAAATACAGCATTTACTTCGTCTTCTGAGTTCTCAGCCAGGTACTGCGAAAAGTGCTGGGTATACAGTTAAAAAAAAAAAAGCACATGAACAGGAAGAAACCTATGGAATGCAGAGCAATGCCTTTCTACAGTGAAGGGAAAATGTAAAGTACGAGGATGACACGCGACAGACTCGTTGCTGCTTTAGAAGAGAACGAAGAGTACTCTGGAAAGACCACATCTTTAAAAGTAGCGTATGCTGACCCTCGGCTCTCATCCTAGCACTTCAGAGACTGAGGCCACGGGGAGCACAAGGTCAAAACTAGCCCGAGCTAAATTGCATGACCCAAGTCTCAAACAAACAAACAAACAAACAAACAACAACAAAAAAAACCACTGGAAACTAAACCAAAACAAACAAACAAACAAAAAAAGCAAGAAGGGGCCAGCAAGATGACTCAGCTGGTAAAGGCACTCCTTGCACAAACCTGGGAAGAGAGAGCAAACTGCATGACCTCTGACCTCTACATATGTGCTGTGGTATGCGCAAAGGTCCCCCCCCCCCGTCTCTTTCTATCTGTCCCTCCCTCTCTTCTCCCTCCCCCCCCACATACACCATGTATACACATATAATGCAAAACAAGAACTTTCACATTAGGAATAAAGATGGAGTCGGAATTCTCAACGGAAAGAGAAGCAGAGGACTTGAGGGCACAAGGAAAGAACTGATCAGCTGGGCAAGGGTGCTGAGTGAGAGCAGAGAGCTAAGGTGGCTCTTAGGGAGGAAAGACTCACAGAAGAGGTTCAAATAGGCAGAGACCAGGTCCACCCCAAAGAAGAAAAACGGATTTGCCCCAACGCTGTCGTCTCCAGTCACACTCCTTATGGGTGTAAGTTTCCGTTTTCCTCATTCTTTGAGACTCCTTACTGTGTATTAACCCCTAAATTATTTTTCATCAAAATTGAATTGTTGCAACCTGTCTTCCTACGGCACTAGGAATTAAGGGACCGAAGTGCTGTTCGGCACCGGTTTGGCCGCTGCGGACTCACAGTGAGCAGGTTGATCAGATCCATGTTAGGTTCCAAGTGGTGCGAGGCGTTCTGCAGGGAGACCAGCTCGCTCAGGGTAACGGAGAGCTGGTGCATCTTGACAATGTTCACTTTGTTCTCCTCCATCCAGTCTGGGAAAATGACGTGGACCGCTATCAGGTCCTTCAAGTGCACGCCGAGGATGGGGATTTTGAAGCCGTCGCAGTCGGCGAAGGCCTTGCGGTAATTGCAATAATTGCCGTTGGAGGAGACCAGCTCTGTCATTTCGTTCCAGTTCTGGGAAGAGACGGAAAAGTCAAATTTTTCAAACAACAGCTTTGTCTCCTGTCCACTCCCAGATCCTGCAGTACGGGGCTTTGGAACTCCTGAGCTACGGGGAGGAGTATCGGCTACACCAATGTTGATGTGGGGAAACCATCGATGGAGAGGAAGAAAAACAGAAAAGGGTACTAGGCCTGGCTCTCCCTTGAACAGCCTGCTCCATTTTCCAACGACACATCAATGGCTTCTCCCTCTGCTTACCTGGGAGCTGCAAAATGGCATCACAGCTGCTTAGGATTCGGAGAGTCAGGAGAAATTACAATTCACAAAGGCAAGCAGGCGGCATATTCCAATGCCCTCGGGTTTCCAAGAACAGCATTGCAAAAGTCCCTTGAAGGTTGGTCCGGGACAAGGCGGGGCGGGAAAAGCTTCCCTGAGCTGAAGGCTGAGGTTCCACACTAACTAAAGGGGTGAGTGTGAACATGGCTTCTCACTTGTTTGGTTTTCAACTTTCTATAAGAAAGAAGAGTTTAAGGGTGTGTGTGCATGAGTGTGTGTGTGTGTGTGTGTGTGTGTGTGTGTGTGTGTGTGTGTGCATGAGTGTGAGTGTGTGCTATTACTTTATGTATATGAGTGCTCTGTCCGCATGCATGTGTGTGCCGCACATGTGTGCCTGGCCGGGTGCATGTAGAAATTAGAAGAGGGTGTTAGTCTCTGGGACAGACGACTGTGAGCCGTAATGCGGTTACGGGGACTCAAAGCCCCATCCTCTGGAAGATCCTTAAAGGCTGAGCCATCTTTCCATCCTTCTGAGAGATCATTTTTAAAGATATACTTAAACCTTAAGCCCCTTATTCTGTACAACTTAAATTTTCCTTTTGCCTTTTACTTGAAATTGAGTCCAATGCTTAAGAAAAAAGAGAGCCCTGAGTAGGTCCCCTTATACTTGGGATGAGGGCAGAGTTTGAGGCCAGATAGTGGTACTTCTCTGGCATATTCATTCATGTCTATATAGATCATTTTTGCTGGTTAGTGAACAACAACTAGACTTTCTAATAAATCCCCTCCTATTAGTCTTTCCCTTCCAAAAGCATCCCACAAGGCTCAGATGACCTGTTTCTATCCCCCTCCCGGCAGGACATAGGAAGGGATCGGCCCCAATCATCATCTGCTCCAGCACGGGAATTCCACCCCTTTGTGGACAGTTTAGGAACAGAGGGTTAAGCCACTAAGCACACTGTATTTCTATGACAACTGATACTGGTCCAGGATGGACTTGAGATGGCCAAACATGTCTAGAAAGCGGGTCTTTAAGGAGAAGAGAGCTCAAATGAGAAGTCTTTCATGAATAAAAGAGTAGATCTTTCCTGTTGCTCCGCAAAGCCCAACCAGGAGGGAAGCCGGGCTAATAAAGCAAGCAAACAAACAAATAAAACAAAACAAAAATGAACAAAAGCAGCCACAAACCCCTGATACTGGGAAGAAGGAGAAGCAACTGAGCCAGACTCTGAAAAGGTCACGCCTGGAGTTCCCTCAGCCACTGGACTGCCAGGGTTGTCAGACAACAGACTGCTTTATTATTTAACCAATTTTGATTGTCTTTATCTTCATGTTCCTTAGGGTTAAAACAGAACACACCCTACTACTACTATTACAGCCAAGTGTTAGCATAAGGAAAACATGTTCCTCTCTGCTCAGTAAGAAAAATGGTTATTTGATATGGTCTGTAAATAAATAGAGAATATCAATTTGTGAACTGGCTTTCAAAGGTACATGCTTTTGAATCTGAATATTGCTTTCATTTATTTATTTATTTATTTATTTATTTATTTATTTGGTTTCTTGAGACAGGGTTTCTCTGTGTCGCTTTGGAGCCTGTCCTGGATCTCACTCTGTAGCCCAGGCTGGCCTTGAACTCACAGAGATCCGCCTGCCTCTGCCTCCCGAGTGCTGGGATTAAAGGCATGCACCACCACCACCCTGTGAGTCTGAATATTTCTATATAAGACCTCTGGCTTCCCTTTTCTTTGCATCTCCCACGTGCCACAGTGTTGTAACTAGAGCAGGCATCAGTGAGCATGGGGTCTTGATCCTACTCATCTGATATCTTCCCCATTCATCAGAGTGCTAATCACACAGCCAGCACCACGTGAATATTTGATGATATTTGCAATACATTCATTCATCTTTGGTTAGGACATATTTTTTTCTATTTCTATTTATTTATTGGAGTGCATATTTTTTTCTATTCTATTTATTTATTTATTGGAGCGGAGGCGTGCATGACTCAGCCTATGCGTGCAGATCAGAGGACAACTGTTCGGAATAAGCTCTTTCCTTCCACCATGTGGGTTCCAGGGATCAAACCCCGGTCACTTGGGGTGGTGACAACCATCCTCACCTGCTGGGCCATCCCACCAACCTGGCCAGAACAATCTTAGTGTAACACTTCCCACGAACAGCAATCGGGTTTTCTGTGTCGAATCTGCTGATAGGCCTATTTCCTTCCTATTTATTTCCCTATGGGTAACTTTGTACTGGTTTAAGAGGAAAATGCTGCTCTCCCATGTAGTACTTGTCAGGACCAGAGTACATTTCAGCAATCTATACTGCTTGCTCCGAATTCAGATCAAAATCCACGGTACCTTTGTAACTTCTGAAGAGAGGTGAGAATGGGTCTCTTTGAGTCGGGAAATGGAGCTATGACTAAGGCCGCCAACCACTGCCATCAAGGTGTTAAAATTTTTCAGTTGAAGGAGTTTCTACAATTAAAAAAAAATGTTAACAGCGGTACTTGGTAAGGATTTCTAAAAGTTATTCTGAATTTCCCAAATTATAGGTGAATACAAGCACATGGTTGATAACAAGAATCTAGGGAGGAAACATCAGTTTGAGAGGAGACGAAAATTGAATCCTCTTAGAAAGATACCATATTTCACAGAACACAATTAAGTAGTTCTAAAGCACTGCCGTAAGAGCAGCCTTGTTGTGTGAGAGCAGTATGGTTTGTTCATTAGACATTTACAAGCAGTTTAACTGTCCAGCTCTTCTATTATTAACCCCAAAGTTCTCTATGACTTTTCTCAAAAAAATTAATGACTACACAGACTCCCCAAACCCAGGTCTGAGTATGAGACAAACCTGTGCTACATTGATGAACTTTGTGATGACTTCTGCCCTTTGCTGAGGACTTGGTTTGCTGAGAACCATCAACTGGACCCACTTGGAGACTCCATTAAATAAAGCAATAGATCTCTCCAACGTTGGGTTATTCTCCAGGCAGCCATGGATGACGTAGCTCTGATAATCTGTGAACTGGTGAAAGGAAGAACCGGAGATTCTAAACTATGACGGAGCTTTCACAAAATCAGACATGAGACAGTTGGGTAAAGGGGGTGAGCTAGCCTTTTGCGACAACATGGTGATTTCTTCCATTTCCCGTTTATAAAGAATTCCTTCAAGTTCCAGAGCTCTGCGCCTTTAATGCACCATTTTGCTACATTTCAAAAATCGTTCCCACAAACACACAAATCGCAGTGCTTTAGGGGGAAGATTCAAAGGTCTATTCTAGAGGATTCCAGACTTACCAAACACTCACATCCATCTAAGCCATTAGCCTGGGAATACCAAGGCAGATAAGATCAGTATCTTCCCCAGGAAAGAACTAAGGTTTTCCATTTTTAGTTCTACCAGTGACACCAAAGAACAAGCACGTTTAAGATACAATGGCACACACTAAAGAACAGGAAATGGATGGAATATAATACTCTCAAATAAGAATAAGACTCTTGTATTTCAAGAGGACAAAGGAGATAGGAAAAATAAATGCCCTTTAGCAATCCAGACATATTTTCAGACTGTGAGGGCAGATGCCGCCACATAAGTTGAAGCCTTATATCCTATACAAAGCTCAGGGAATCACTTTCCTTGGCATGTCTGAGAAGCATTATGAAGGTTCTCTACAAACAGGATTTGCTTGGTGAATGCATCAGTCTTTCAGAAATTTCTGCTTCTTGGGCTAAGGATGCAGCTTCTAGAATGTACAAGGCCCTAGGTTTGATCCCTAGTACTACTGAAAGTTAAAAAAAAAAAAAAGGAAGGAAGGAAGGAAGAATGAAAGAAAGAGAGAAAGAAAGAAACCCATGTCTCTAGTCAAAATCATCTTGTTTGCCAGCAATGATGTGATTTGCTTCAGGCTCCTTGGAAGGGGAATGATTTCACCTGAGCTCACGAGGCACACTGAAGTCACAAGCTGATGGAGCTCTATAAAGAAGTGAGTAGCAACAAGGAGGCCTCTTGAAGGGTCTGCAAGTGAGGAAGGAAGGAGGATGGAAAGGGAGACGGTATGTAGGAAAGGACTGAGGGTCCATCAAGATGTGTAGGAAGGAAAGTCTAATGTAGGACCTCTGCCTCAGAGAAAGGGGCCATCTAATGTTGAGAGCTCTTCAATGCTTCCAATTCTTAATTCTCAACCTCTTTCATAGTTAGGCATTTGTATAGACACCAAAATAAGTTAACTGCCCCCTCCCTCTGTGCTATAAATAAAAATTCCCAGCAAAACAGTTCACTTGGAAGAGGTCACTCGAACTAAATAAACCTTGAATGGTTAAATCTCTGCTGAATATTTAGAAAAATCATGCTTTAATTCTATGAAAGGAGACATTGAATATAGTGGCAGAAATATAGCTCCTGAGCCATAAACTAAAGACAGGATAATATTTATATTTGGTTAAAAGGGATTGTTCCTGTGAATTGAGGGCATGTTTCCAACGGAGCCCAGTGGCAGAGGCTGCCAACACTTGGGAGTATGAACACGCAGCCCTTGGGAAAGTTGGCACAGCGCATGTTACCCTTGGAAGAATAACCGTCAAGTTCTTACTGAGATCCTTCTAAAAGATTTATGCTCCAGAAAAGTGAGGTGCTCAGCCAACTCAATGGGCTCCAGATGGTCAAATAAGAGACAGGCCTTCCCCTTTTTCGATACTTTCTTCCTCTGCGTGACTCTCCTCATCCAGTCATAGGAAGGACTGTAAAAGAAGAGAGAGTCTGGTCAGCGTGCCGAAAACGCATTTCACTCAGTGGAAGATATTAACCGACTACTGACTGTCACTCTTGGCCCACTGCCAGGAGCCTGTGTGAAATACATACCCTGCCTTCCATATTTGAAGAGAAAACCACCCACCCTTTGCCAACAGGACACAGACTTGGAGTTGTTTTTTTTTTCTAGGCAGGATAGGTTTGCTGTGATCCATCCTGAATCTCTTACTTGGTATTCCTTGTGACCAAGAAAGATTTGAACTCTAAAGAAGAGAGGTCAGGGCTAGGTCTACAAAGTCAGAAGTTTATTGGCATATAGAAGGTGATTCAAGGCACTGGGAAACAACCAAGGTTGTGTTTATCACACTTGAGCATCATATGGGTTATCTGAAAAAACTCATTATGAAGAAAAAGGCCTAGCTCTCACTTCCAAAGACTCTGATTTATTAGGAACGGGTCTGAAAGGCAGACATTGTAAACAAGCCTGCCTGATGATTCCTGGGTCATTCATTATCAATTAGTCTTGAAGAAGCATTCCAGGCAAAGAGAATGCCTAAGATACAAAATATGTGCATTTGACGTCCACCTGTAATCTTAGCACTCAGCAAGCCAAGATGGGAAAACCATCACAAGCTCAGGGACAGCCTTGGATCCATAATGAATTCCAGGCCAGCTTGGGATAGACTGTACACTTGTAATATGGACAACCATACCTATGTTCATGAAAAAGCTTTTCCTGGGCAGTTAGCTTGTCTGCATTAAATGAGTCTAATTAGTATTAGGTCCCTTATGAGATGACCAGTCAGGACACAACTGTGGTCAACATTTATGTAACATCAGGGGAGCCTCTGAAGCAATGGGATACAGAGCTTCTCAGGCTTGCATGAGAGTATAAATCACATGGGGATCTTATTAAGGTATAGATTACAATTCAGCAGGCTTAGCCGAGACCCAAGACTGTTTTCTGATGGGCTCCTAGGAGAAACCAGGGTGGTGTGATCTGAGTAGCTGGAACTTAGGAGATAATGGCTAAGTTCAGTTTGAGAACTAAGGACTCAGCATCCATTAGGTGCCAGATGCTTTCCTGTGCTCCCTTGTGGACTTCTTAAACAGGATAATTCCATAAAGGTACCATCCCATTTTACAATCAAACTGCAGCTTGGAGAGAGAGATTGTGTCTACTAGAGGTGCATTCATTATAGCCAGGCTGTCTCCAAAGGAGGAGCATCCTTCTAGAACAATACAGATTTCATTCAAGCAGAGTCATCACTAGCCCTTCCCCAAAGAGATAGACCCATGAAGACCCAAAAAACGTGTGCCACTCTTACATGCTGGATATGTCCATGAGGTTGATGTGTTTTTCATATCCTAGTTGACCTGCTACTTCCCGGAACTCCTCAGTCATACGAATCAAACCCAGATCCAAATTAAACTCTGCAGGGAATTTCAGAATCCAGTACCTGAAAGGCATATAAAGGGCTTTTGACAGCTGGAAGATTTCACTTGGACCTCTTTGGAGACTATTGTACCATTTTATAAGCCGAACTTAACATGGAATCCAGTACTGTAGTTCCAAGTTGTTGGCTCGTATCCCCAGCAATCCTACCACATGTCTTTCTGCTCCTTCCATCAAGAACCAGAATCCAGCAACCCTGAACTTCTTCCTGACTTACTACAGAACACAGCAGAGGGGAGCCCCCCCATGCCCCCAAGTCATGGTAATGAATATGGTGAGGGAGCAGAAAAACCTTGAATCCACTGGATCTGTGAGCTGGTTTTTACTCTGTAAGGCATTATCTCATACTTGATCTCTAGTCCATAAGGTAAATTCTACCCTACCCATCAAGAACAGAGAACTAATAGTTACAAAGGCAGTGAGGTGAAGTATTGGCTGCTTAGAAAAAAATTGTCAACAATTTCAGAACCCAAAGCTCTGAGAAATTAAATCTGTAAGTGTATTTACCTCATGAAATAGCAGACCTTCAGTCGGAACTCATCACAGGTGTCTCCACTGGCGTTCTGATACGTAGACTAGTTAAAGAAAATGTCATCTCTTCCTTTCGCACATGTCTAGCCGACACTGTCCCAGCAATTCACACAAATCCCAGGCAATTCTAGTGATAGGCTGAGCACCTCTAATCCAAAGCCTTGAAATGCAAAATGCCCCAAATTCTGAAGCTTGTATTGTTGGAAAAGCCAACAATACAAGGAAAAGAATGTCACCCCTGAACTAATATGATGCTTTGGAAAAATGAGAGTCTATTTAAAATAGTGTGTTTTTGGACTTGTGTGCCATCCTTATTGATATCTTATTATGTAAGTGTAATCTATATCATATTATATCATATCATATCATATATCATATCATATCATATATATATATAAATTCTGTCACAATACTTATATACACACAGTATATATATACACAGTATAGAGTACTACTGATTCTAGAAATAGACTTCATCTAGCTTCCTATATGTGATTTCAGGCTTGAATCTGAAGCAGGTAACTTAAGTTTGTGTAGCCTGGATGTATTTAATAGATTGTGGTCCTTTAACCCCTCTGAGATCTGCTGCATATGACATTTAAACTGTTTAAGTTTTCTGCAGTGAACTATGACCATTCCTAACACACAAGTAGCTATTCTGAAATTTGTTAAAAAATCCAAGGTATGAAATGGTTGAGTTTCAAAATGTGGATGAAGTAAACTCAACCTAGAGACAGTCAAATGGACATAGAAGCAGGATGTGAGCATATCAACACCAAGTAGTCAAACTTGACCTGGTAAGGCTCTAGGATATATTATTGGTCTGGTGGAGAATTCACTTCAAATTAGTTACACCTTCCTGTGTACTTGCCAACCAACAACCACAAACTGTGGTCACAAGCACAATGCAAAGTATACATAATTCAAAATTGATAGCAGCACCATTTTAGCTAAGAGATTTCATATTTAGGACTGGTGTTTTATATAACAAGCACTCTAATCTGATGAGTATTTGAAAATATAATGTTCAGGTATGTTCATATTAAGGTTGCGTTATTTATTCTTAAGTTCTCCTTGAACAAATACTCCTACTGTAAACAGACACAGTGGGCATGGAGTAGGTAAAGAATCCAAGGAGGAAAATGTCAGTCTTCAACTTTCACGCCAGCTGAAATGTCCCACACTATACTCTAACACGCCTGAACTTCCCTCTTTATTTGTATTTCATGCATTAGCAAACACACTATGGATAAGAGAGTTGTTTGTGGATGAGCTCTATGGGCAATGTATAGATCATGTGGTTGACTCCCTCATCCTTCCCAACACTCGACCTGTCAAGAGTGGGACCAATGGATGCAGAGTCTTGCTCACTTCTAAGGCTCTCCATTCAGGGTGAGTGTCTTCTTAACCTCTATAACACTCCCCTTTCCTTGAGTTTGTGGGAAGAATATGAAGTGGACAGGCTCAATCCCTGCTTGGCTGGGACAGCCTGGGCAGGTAACAACAATGTTTGGGCAGACTTCCTAAGTCCCAGGCTCTCCCTTTTCTGTAAGTGTTCTCTTTCGTACAGGGACTCCTGGGTTAATATAAGGCAGAGATGTAAAGACACACTTAGAGATTGTACAGCAAACACGGACCCTAGGAAATCAACTTCCTCAAACTGTGAGACTGTTTGCATTATCATACATGCACTTTTTAATCGTTTTTCAGGACTATATTACATACAAAATCAGTAAACAGCTGCCTGCATTATAAAATGGGTTTTCAACTATGAGGAATGTTATGTTTGGCCTTGTATAGATATTTTGTTTGGTTTTGTCAATAAAACCAAAAATTAGCATCAACCAACAAATTACAGGGGGGAAAAAAACTTCTAGAACGTTCAGTGTGTCTTACCAGCCAGAGAAATATGGAGACTACGCTAGGCTTTGTTGTCATCAGAGAAGGAAAATATTGAATCAGTGTTAAATAATCTTTCATTATACTAATAGTCTAAATATTTAGGATAAGTTGGGAACAGTTAGCCTACAACTCCTGTTACACTTCACATCTTACTGATGTCTTCAAGTTCGGTCAAAACACCCAGTATTTAGTTAACTATTTGGTTTATCATCCAGATGTTTCATCTAATATCTATATAGTCCCAAAACATCTGGATAGGTGACTAAATAAGACCATTTATTCATCTTTATTTACTGGTTTTGGATAGGCACTCTATCTAAATACAGAACTTGATTTATGACTATCAACATTACAGAGCAGTTGAAAAGATATATGCAGAGGAGTTTTTCTGCCAGTTCGGTGGAAGATAAATACCATCGGTGCATCAGGAGAACTATTCTTGGCAAATAGCTGTCGTTCAGTTCTCCATTGTCGTCTGTGGAAAATAAAATAAGTGGCAAAGAGGCGGCAGGGTCAAACATTTCTTCCTTTAACATCGCTTGAGAAAATACAGCATCAACAACGTCTCATAAGCCCCGCTGTATTTTGTAAGATTTATTTTTAATTATGTGTATGTGTGTAGGTGTGTGCACATGAAGCCAGAGGCATTAGAGGGAGTAACAGGCAGTTGTGAGTCATCAGACATGGCCTCTGGGAACTGAACCCCATCTTCTTTAAGAGCAGCATGCATTCTTAACCTCCGAGCCATCTCTCCAGCCCCAAGCCCAATTATCTTTTTTTGCCTCTTACTTCTGCCGGGAGTTCCCTGCAAACTAAGGTACATGGTGTCACCATTCTTCTGCTTTGCAACTGGTAAGTTTAGCAAATCTAAATTCAGGACATCCAAGTCAATTTGAATTGAAAGTAAATAGGGATTGAGTTGTCAGAACAAAGCATGGCCTTGGTCTATTTGAGACACACACACACACACACACACACACACACACACACACACACACACACGTTGACTATCTGAAAGTCAAATGTTAGTGATCATCTTGTATTTATTTATTTATTTATTGGGGTAGGGTGCCTCATGTGCGGAAGTCAGAGGACAGCTTTCGGGAAATGGTTCTCTCCTTCCGCTGTGTGAGCGTTGGGCACCAAACTCAGACCATTGGGCTTGGCCGTGCCTTTATTGGCCGTGCCTTTAGTTGAACCACCTTGCTGGCCAGTCATTCTGGATTTTATCCAATAGCTCTACTCTGGCTTACTTCCGGCTTTCTATCAATTAAAGAGATTAAATTGCTAAACTGATTAATCGAAGTTCTCATGTGTGACTCCAATGCTCAATGGGAAAGTGGATACAGACAGCAAAATAAAGGTGCATAGATGGATACATGATATATACAAATGAAGATTATAGTGGATTGTGTAATACACACACACACACACACACACACACACACACACACAGAGCTGGGGAGGAGTCAAAGAACAAGGCAAACATCATGGTAGCATGTATATATGCATAACAATATACACCAAGAAGTGGGATGGTAGAAGTGAGCATCATTTCTGATACGTTATCAGGAATTTTGACTATTCAGGATGATGACTGCTGGCCTGGAAGAGAATTCCAATGAGAGAATTATGGAAGTAGAAATGACACAAGGGCCGGGCAGCAGTGGCACACGCCTTTAATCCCAACACTTGGGAGGCAGAGGCAGGCGGATCTCTGTGAGTTCGAGGCCAGCCTGGTCTACAGACTGAGTTTCAGGACAGTCAGGGCTACACAGAGAAACCTTGCCTCGAAAACCAAAACCAAAACAAACAACAAAAAGTCACAATGGATGTTTCAGAAATAAGCAGTGTGTCTGGAGTAAGAGCCGTGGACAGTGAGAGACATAAGAGCAGAGGCCAGTGAACCTGGAGAGACAGCAGACTATCCCAGAAAGAACCTGCATGTGGGCTGAAGCAAGTGACAGCGTCAAGACGCACAAGGGGACCTAAGAGGAAAGGTTCGTACCAAACATCTCAATGCACGTGCTGAGCAGTTCATCGAGCGTCGCTGCTTTCCCGAGGCCGCTGGACCCCATGGTTATTTAGCCGGTGTCAAAAATCTGGAGACATTTCCAGCAGTAGACAGATCATCTCCATAGCTGTGTCAGTCAGCGGTTCTCTCGCCCCGTGGAGCCTCTGTCCCTAATTACGCTTCAAGAGAACGCTAAGTGAACAAGAAGAGAAGATTACTCTTTGGACTGCATCAAAGGAGTGTTTTCCTACCTCCCCTGGGCCTGCCCATCTGCCCCTGACTGTATTTTCTACAAGAAAAGTGTCAGATTGACAGATGAGCTCAATTGCCACAAGGATGAAACACCTGGATGGAATGTCCCTTAACGTGCACCGTGATTTGAGACCACAGAGGTCTTCCGTCTTACATACCATCCCTTTCTGCAGCTGAACAGTAGTAAAAATAGTATCTTATGCTTTTCGTCATATTCTTACCTAATAAGGCATTCGGGAATGCTGTACACGTTACTCAGTTAAATGCCATTGCAGATATATTTAGGGACACACACTTTTGAATACAAATGTAGTTGTAAGCATCACCCTCACTGATCATGTAGATGTTCCACAACTATAAGCACAAATTCCAAACTTTTCCTAAACTTGCTAATAGTAACATTGTTACTATGGGTGGTTGTCTTAGTTACATTTTTTTTTAAAGATTTATTTATTATGTATACAGAAGAGGGGTGCCAGATCTCATTACAGATGGTTGTGAGCCACTATGTGGTTGCTGGGAATTGAACTCAGGACCTCTGGAAGAGCAGTCGGTGCTCTTAACCTCTGAGCCATCTCTCCAGCCCTTAGTTACATTTTTATTGCCCTTAAGTGACATCATAACCAAAACAACTTATAAAAGAAAACATTTATTGGGGCTCACATTTCCAGGGTGTTAGAGTCTATGACCATCATGCTGAGGAGCATGGTGGCAGGCAGAGACAATACTGTAGCTGAGACGACATCCCAATGCATGAACACAAGGCAGAGGAAGAGCCTACTGGGAATGGTGTGAGCTTTGGAAACCTCAAAGCCCACCCCCAGTGACACACCTCCTCCAACAAGGCCACGCCTCCTGATCCTTCCCAAACAGTTCCATCAACTGGAGACCAAGTAGTCAAACATAAGAGCCTGTGTTCTCATTCAAAACACCAGTAGAAACTTGAGTGATATTACCCAACTTTATTGATGAGACCTTCACAATGATGCTGTCAGGCAGCAATTATCATTCTCTACTTGCAGGTAAACCTCAGAGACTCAACAGTTTAATCCGAGCTAACTCATCTTTCAGTCCTAGAAGCAAGATCCCCGTGTTAAAATTAAACTCCTGGACTCCCTCCCCCTCATATGACTCCCTCAGATGTGAATAGTACGAGCTGTCACAACATTGTCCCCTAATCTAGTATTAAGGGCACTGCTCTTTCACAACATCTCAGGAGGAGGATGTAACCACAACTATCATTCATAGACAATTATGATCATCACAATTATCACTCAAGAGAATGCCATGGGGCAACTGGCTTAGAGTCAGTAATGAAAAGTGTCCCTGTTGGGGAGACAGCACCGTTTTACTTCATAGAGTCAGCCTCTGATGCCAGGTCATCATAGGACATGGAGAACCACAGAGGCCACCATGCTGTAAAGTATTACCCACTTTGGACAGTGGAAAGCATAAACGGGGCAATTGGAGACTACCGGTGAGCTGTTTGAGTCAGGGTTTATTTCCCTCGCCAGCGTTGTTTACTTAACTGGCGATCACTGAGCATCAGGCAATGAATTAGAAACAACAGCTACCCAGATGAAGGAAGGAATCATTCTTTCCTCGCCTTCAGCAGGGTCACAGTCGGCTGCAGAAAGCGTAGGGAGAAATGACTAATGTCCATAGGCATGGTTGTAACCAGTCAGTGAGATCAGCAAAGGATGGCAGTTGGGTGACTTTGTGCATTGGGCGTACATTGAGCCTATGGGCTTCATCTAACTCTACATGAAAGGAAAAAAGGTTCTTGTCAACTCACTCTATACAGTCATGTCTTTGTGCCTAATGATACTCTTGGAGGATTAAAAAATGGCTTAATGAAAACAACAGGAAAGGGATTCATAAAGTTGTGTGGAGCCAACTCTCTTACACCTCATAACAAAGCCATCTTTATCAGCAAATGTTTCCTGATCACCTACTTAAAAAAAAAAAAAAACCTCTCTCATGCCACCTCCCACTCAGCATGCCTTAACTCTTTTCCTGGGTTTATCTTCCTTCAAATGCCTGAAGTAATAACTCTCCATAGAAAATTCCTTCAAAAAGATTTATTAATTTTAGGAATGAATGGACTTATGAATGAATAAACTAAAAATTACCCAAAGTGTGTCTGAATGTGTGTAAATTTGTGAGAGAATTAGAGATACTTAAGAGGTTTTGGGTGTTTTTTTTTTCCCCTTTTTCAGTTTGATTCACTAATTTAAATTAGCTTTAAAAATTCCTGTCAGCCTTTTATATTTGACAGGGTTCATCTATAGTCATAATAAGAATTTCATACCTCTTCTAGGACATTCTGGGCAGCACTTCCCCAGTTTCCCTCTAGTGTAAGCTCCATTAGTGTGTTTATAAGTTGAGACTGAACAATTAGCTGGAAATAGCCATACATGACTGTAAGTGGTTTTTCAGGCCAAACCCCAAGATGATTCTCGAGTTGTCTTGGAAGTGTTGAGTTCCCCACAAGTGGCTAGAAATAACCCTGAACTAAAGGCTTGTCACTGTATTCGTAGCTATATTTGTGAACAGTGAAGAATCTGGTTCGTAATGGGCCTAGTGGACTGGGCTATTGGGTTACAATCTGTTTCTGCAATCATTAAGCCTGTCTGTGTCTCCACTTACCCTTCTGTCTCCTGCACACTTACCTGTGATCACATTTCATTCATGGGGAACTTATTTTGTCTACAAATGCCTTTTCAAAAACCAAGGTTCTAGCTGGCAAAAAATAGTGGCATCCATGTCTTAAAATGGACAGCAAGGAAAGACGTGACCTATAATCTCATCATGCAAAAATTTAGCTCTCATGAATGTCATGGTGTGCTTCTTTTGTCTTGTTGGGTGTATTTAGGGTTGTTTCTTATAATCTTAATTGATCTATTTTAAAAAGTACTTACAATCTAGTTTCATACAGATAAAGGTCCAGGTCTGAAGAGATGTCAAGGGCAATTGTCATCCCTGGAAAGGGCACCAAGGAAGCAGGCTGAAGAACTGGTTCATCCAACTCAAATTATAAGTGCTCTGGAAAACCTGAAAACAGCAGAGAGGAACCTCAAGTCAGTGAATGGGAACCCTAAAGAACCTACCTGGTGCTGAGGATTCCAAAAGGTATTCCCTGAGGGTCTACAGGATGTTTGAGATTTGGTGTGAACTTCAACCTTAAAATCAAATAAAAGGGAAACACATTCAAAATAGTTATTTGGTGGCATGATTTTTTTCAATCAACTGGCACTTTCAAAATTCTGCATTTTAGGGACCTGATAAAGGGCCCAGGTGGTAAAGTGCTTTCTACGAAAGCCTGACGGCCCAAGTCTACCTCTAGATGCGGGTAAAAAATGTGAGAGAACTGGCTGTACAAAATCGTCCTCTGACCTCCACACATAGGCCAAAGCATGTGGACCATCCCCACCCCAGAATAATAATAAATAGAATTTAATTTTTTTTAATTTGCCTTAAAACAATTCATATGTGTTCCCCCAAAAAGGTTTTATCTCCATAGTGTAAAATCTTACTTTGGTTGTATACTTATCTCCATGAGTTACTCATTAAGAGTTTCCAAGAATTGACCCCGGATGTTAACAAATCCTTAAGCACTTTGCTGTGGTTAAATACCACTCTGATCCTAAATCACTTAGTATGATCTCAACAGGGATGTCAGTGTTATTGTAGTTTGGGTCGTTTAGTCTCCTGATAGTTTAGAACTTACTGTAGTGTTGATAGTTCAAACTATTTCCAAGGGAAAAAATCATTCTAAATGGCCAGTAGGGTTTCGTTGAATATGGTTTTGTTGAATATGGTTTCCAAGGCACAATACATTCACATAGCAAAAAAGACCTACATTGATTTAACTTGTGAAGAGTCTATCATCAAAAATATCTTTCCCCAAGTTTAGCTAGGATGATCACACATGCACTCAATTTTAAGAGCAGTAAGCAGAGGCCAATTTCATGCCAGTTTTAATTAATATTTATAGATATAAATGAGTACTTCAGGCTCTTGACTTAGAACTTTTAAAAAAAGAAAATCAGGTTTCGACATTAGCCAGTCACAAGGGAAGTTTTACTTAAACCTGGCACTTTTTAAATTGAGTATTTAATTTGAAATGTAGAACCAATTTGTAGATGTGGCAGGAAGTGGTGGCATTTGAAGACAAAAGAAGTGAAATGGAATGAAAAATATTGTTGCTTTGGAGTAGGGTGCAGTGGGTAGATGGTCTTATGGGTAATGGAATTCCATTCCTGAAAATTCTCAAGCGAAAGCTGAGAAAGACTGTCAGGCTGTAGACTAAGTTCCTAGTGCCAGGTACCTGGGAACCACACCAATTCCACACCAACACCACACCGGGGGTTTCTCCTAGCTCTAGGAAAGCAGAATTCATAAGGTGAAATGTTATATCTAATGAGAAGTAGTTTGAAATGATGTTAACAGTATTAGCACTTCCAAAGATTATCTTGCCTATAGCATTCTTTCTTCCCAGAAAGATCTTAAACAAAATCTCTTAAAGACCCTCTCTTCTCATAGTAGATAATATCTCTATACATATATGAATGTGGTTTTTTTCCCTTCTTATTGTATTGTTTTGGGGGTAGAGAACAGGGTCTAACTATGTGTCCCTGATGGTCCTGGAACTCACTGTGTAGACCAGGCTGGCCTCAGACTCATTGAGATCCTCCTGTCTCTATCTCTTGAGTGCAACCTTGCCCAACAAAACACACATTAAAAAAAAAAAAACCAACTATTATTGACCTTCATATGGAGACAAATTTTTGTATGTACCTAAATCCTGTACTAAAACAGGTAACATTGTTAAAAAAAAAAAAGCCTTAATCTTGAGTCCTATAAAAGAAATAATACTGAGGCTCTGAGAGAGAATTTATGTGACAAATACTAAGGATGTATTAAATATGAGATGCTAAGCAAGGCACTAGAGTGGCTGCTGAAGGGCAGGGAAGCGAGGAGGTGGGTTGATGACCCAGAGAGATAAAATTCTTATTTCTATGCAGTAGCAAAGAACTAGAGAAGCGGATATGATAAAATAACGTCCAAAGCACAGCACAGAGCATGTAGGGACGGGGTGCTTATTGAGTCTAGGAGCTGGGAATGTTTTAGCTGAGCAAAGAGTGGGCAAGGAGACAGCAGTAGGGAGGATGTGAAAGACATGTGGGATAACTGAATGTTGGATATGGCAAGGACCAGGACTAACGAGGTAGAAGTAGTTAAGTCCTGAGGAGTAGCGGAAGCTACCAAGGAGTATAGAACAAAGGACAAGGGGGAAACTATTCCTATAACAGTGAACAGGAAAGAAGCGGGATCACACTGGAATCATAAAGATTCTTACAGCCATAGCATGGAGAAGAGACCGAAGAAGCATATACCAGAGATGGGGGCTGAGGACTGGGGCTATAGCTCAGTCGATACATGACTTGTCTAGCATGCACATAAAGTCCTGGGTCTGATTTCTATCACCATACAAACCAGTGGTTCTCAACCTGTGGGTCTCAACCCCTGGAGGGGGTCAAATGACCCTTTCACAAGGGTCGCCTAGGACCATCAAAACCCACAGATATTTACATTACAATTCATAATTGTAGCAAAATTGTAATTATGAAGTAGCCACAAAAATAATTTTATGGCTGGGGGCTCACCACAACACGAGGAACTGTATTAAAAGGTCGCACACAGCACCAGGAAGGTTGAGAACCACGGCTAGAAACAAAGCATGGCGACACATGCCAGGATTCCCAGCACTTTGGAGGGGAAGGTAGAAGGATCAGGAGTCCGTGGTCACCTTCTTAGATAATGAAAGATGTTGTTGGTTGTTTTTGCTCTTTTGTCTTTTTTACTCCTTGGTCCTTTGGGGGCCCACCATCCAAATTAATCAAACATGGAGGCTTAGTTTTAATTATAAATGCCTGGCCTTAGCTTGGCTTGTTTCTTGCCGGCTTTTCTTAACTTTAAATTATCCCATCTAGTTTTTGCCACTGGGCCTTTTCTTTTCTCTCTTTTTTTTTCTCTTTTACTTCTGTATATCTCACTTTCACTCTTACTCCGTGGCTGGCTCTGTGGTTGGGTGGCTGGCCCCCAGCACCCCCTTCTTGTTCTCTTGCTCTTTTCTTCTTCTTTTCTCAGGTTTCTTCTTCTATTTATTCTCTCTGCCAGCCAGCCCCACCTATCCTTTCTCCTGCCTCATTACTGGATCTCCAGTTTATTATTAGTCCCATCAGGTGTTTTAGACAGGCACAGTAACACAGCTTCACAGAGTTAAAGAAATGCAACATAAACAAATACAACACATCTTCGCATCATTAAACAAATGTTCCAGAGCATTAAAAAAAATGTAACACGTCTTAAAATAATATTCTACAACAGAAAGGCAAGCCTGGGATAAATAAGATACTGTCTCAACAACAAAGAAGATGTCACAGGTCCTAGCTGATATCTCATCTACCTTTGCCTGGATGGGTGACAAGGACCTTAACCCACCAAAAGAAATTAGTAGAGATAATAACAGAGAAATGACTTCTCTCTCACCCTTTGCATTGACTCAGGTTATTTCATTTGACAACTGCAACCCATGACTCACCATGATCGCCACCTTCCCAACCAGGCTTCCCACATCTCTGGCCAGCCATTCACACCCTCTAGGACCTTCATTTCCTGTCGTCTTCAAAGAGATTAAAAAAAAAAAACTGCAACATGGCACTGCTATTCTCTTGCTAGTTCCTACTTTCTAGTTAGTTTTTTTTTTGTTTGTTTGTTTGGTTGGTTGGTTGTTTTTGTTGCTGTTGCTTGTTGTTATTGTTGTTGCTTGCTGTTATTGTTTGATTGTTGTTTGTTGTTTATTATTGTTGTTGTTTGTTTTGTTGTTGTTGTTGTTGTTATTTCAACTTCGGTCTTGTTACTTTAGCTTTCAGTCCCAGTTTTTTCAAGCTCATCCCTCACTTCTTTGGATGTCTCTTTCTACCCTGTTTCCTCTGGTGTTGCCCTTCCCAGGTTGCTCCATCGGTCTCGTGCTCCTCACTGTCAAAGCTGTCTGTGCCACAGAGCTACTGGGACAGTTTGAACACACAGCACGGGCCCTGTGCTTACAGCAAGGACAAATCATTGTCCACAGGCCCTAATGGATGACATAAAGAATAAAATCCCCTACACTTAGGGATGGCTGAGCATTAGTCCAAAGGTCATTTAACAATGAAAACACTGTGTTCTTCAACTCTAAAGCTACTTTCCATTCTTGCCTTTGACAGGCTTATTTAATAAGATTTTCCTGGGTCTTAAGTTATGTGCTGCCTGTTCATTTATCACTTTCTTCTAAAGGATTTTACTAAATTAATAGGATATTAATTAACATTAATAGGGTTTTTTCGTTCTGAATTTTTTTTAAAAGGCAATAATAGCATGTAAAAATACCACTTATTGCTGGAAATATAGCATGAATGTTACAATGCTGGGGGGAATATCTATGTTATAGTTACTCTAATAAAATCCCAAAAGCTAAGCATTATTGTCTTTACTGCATAAATAAGAACACAGAGGCCTAAAGAGGTGGAATTGATGGTCCAATAGCATATTACCCTCTAATTCCCAAATCCCTAGTCTGACTCCAAAAATGTATCCCTGCCCCACCATGATCTGAAAACCTTTTAGCCTGTTCAATCCATTTCTAGGCACTGTCGAGAACACATGCTCGCTACTTCCTGTGCTGACTCCTAAGCATTTATCACTGGCCATATTGTCTGTAGATGAATAAGCTTTATTGTCACAGTAGGCTTGGCAACCCAGGGGAACACTGGTACCAAGTACCAGACAGGAGCAGCTCAGAGTTCATCTCACTCACAAGACCTCGTTGCATCTGGGGCAGCGGTAGGAGGAAACAATAAAATAGCAAAGTTCAGCTGCGTGTTTTTTCCTTACTCGCTGGCATTTATTACTGGCAGTCAAACTACCATACTTAGTGTTAGCTGAGGCAAATTAAACACCAAAGTCCAGGGGATGCTTTAGTAATAAACCATAAAACGCCGAAGTCCAAC